AAAGGCAGGGTGATGGGGAATACTACGGGGAACCATTGGTTTATCGGCCTAGTACTGCAGGAAAGCATGACGTAGTCTGAATGGAAATACCGTAGTATGAGAGAAGTCATCCATGGGCAAGTTTCCCATATCCAAGAAGCGCGTGTCAACAGGCGAGATAGTCCAAGTGGCGAAGCTCCGGAGCCAAACATATACTATCCGTCAGGAGCACTCGACGTCGAAGTGACAGCAGCACGGTGGGGAATCCTGGCTGTGAGATGCACATAGCAGAGTAGCGATGACAGACTTGGTTGCGGACATGGCAAGAAATACTGTGGACGGCCGCACTGCCCCAGATCAGCAGCCGAGGAGACGGTCGACATATGAGAGGCTGGCGAATGCGGCCTCCACGTTTCGACCAATCCAGCCCAAGCAATCAGCGCAATCAGCTATTGAAGAGGTTTCGCGACGAGAACAAGCAGAAGCAATTGTGAAGGCCTTGCCCAAGCTACGTCGACGAGGGCCCCAGCCACGACAGAGAATACCACAGCGTAACGGCGTCTCGAGCACAGGAGGTCTTGCCGGGCAGCTTATCCGGCCACAAGAGACGGCAGGATATGCACACTTAGCTGGAGAGTCGTCGCCAAGGCTACTAGTTCAGACTGCTTGTGAAGAAGCAGATCAGCGGCAACGGAGAGACGAGGCCACGGACCGGAAGCAGCCCCATCGGCAGGGGAAAAGAAGTCGCCATCCTGGACGAGACGAAACTCCAAGGAAGCGAAATCGAGGTGGAACTCGAGGCCAGAGGAGACAGGAATTTCAGACCGAGGACTTGGCAAGCGTGTTGCGCTACTTGGAGGAGGAATTTGCCATGAAGGCGAGGTTGTCTCACGAGAAAACGTGGTGTACGCCAATACCGCACGAGAGAAAGGTATCGACTGTGCGAGACTTCTACAAGGCGTTCCATGATGCGAGCACGTTGCCGACACAGACCTGCATGCTTTGCTACCGCAAGCGCACGAAGAGAGAGTTAAGGCAAGTCAACTGGGAAAGATGGTCATCTGACGACGTCCAGGGGGTTGATGGCTCGGTATTTTCTTGTCCGGCCTGCTTTTCTATAGGTGAGAGCGTTCCAGTCTGTGCGGAATGTGTACGTTGCTTTGAGAGGGGCGGCCTGTCGCCAGCGGCCAAACTGCACAGCCGACTTGGGTGTGAGCACGTGTTCCCCGATGAGCTGAAGGGTCTGACACCGATCGAAGAGAAGCTCATCGGGTTGAACTCGTGTTACGGGTTTGTGACGAGATACAGCATTCCGGGGGGGGCGGAAGCAGGTTGCCGGGTATCCAAGGCACGTCAGGGGCCACATCACGGTGTTCCCGAACAATGTACAGGAGCTAGTAACAAAAGTGCTCCCCCATCCGCTTGTGCAGGTCATGGACGAGATTCACATCTCGTGGCAGGGCGCGGAAAGGCCGGGGCCGAGCGATCTTTCGAGCCTCTTATCCGTGAGGCGCCAAGTCGTCGAGAGAGCCCTCTCCTGGCTAAAGAAGAATAACCACCATTATGAGGATGTTGAGATTGACATGGCGGAGATGGAGAGTTGGGGATCCTCGCCGCATGGCGTGCCACCTGTCGTGTACGACCGCATGGAGCCGAACGAGCCATCCGCGTGGGAGAGATCGCGAACGGCGCAGGTTGTGCCACCAGCGGAGCGGGCTATGGACGATGAGAGCCCGGCAGAGATTGAGGAAATTCTCACTCAACTCTACCAAGGACAGGATGCGACAGATAGCCAAAGTCGAGAACATGACGGGATCAGAGGGGGCGAGACCGACGCTCGCGGTGATGCTGGTTCCGGCCCCGACGGTAAGGTGAAAAAAATCAACGAGGTAACCTCTTCTGCGTTGTTTTTGTTGGAGGGACCGCCGGTCGTGTCTGATGCGGAGAAGCTCCGCTTTGCCTGGCATGCCGTGGGTGGCGGCCGTGAAGAGAATGACCGTCCGGGGCCGAAGGTGTGGATAAAGTCAGCGGAGTCGCGGCAAGGTGGAGATGCCAGTGAGCCGTACATTCACGTTTGTCGTGGAGACGAGTTCGCCGACTCGCTGGACGCCTGGTTCTTCGCAAAGACGTTTCCCACCTTATTTCCGTTCGGATTTGGGGGACCACGGCTGGCGGAGGAAGCCATCATAAGGCCGGAAACGGCGGCCAATTCGTGTGGTACGGCTACCAGGGCGGAGACGGCGGTGCGAGACCTCTTATCGTCTCGGAATATGAGCCTTCGGACATGGGCTGGTGTCGTGCTGCGGCGCCATGGTGGGCGATTTGCGACACATAATGTCTTCTCGTTTCTTGTGTTTAACATGGGTGTGCGATCGAGGAATCGCCGCATAAGCATGCTCAGCGCGACGAGAAAGAATTTCCGCAAGGTAGAATGCATTGTGCAGTCACTGACAATAGACAGATTGGTGGCGGCCAGAGCAGAATTGGAGAGTTCGGGAAAGACTACCGACGTTGGGGTGAAGGAGCTCCTGAGATGCTGCTCTCTGTACGGCTATCGGCAACCCATGTCGAGGGAGCTTCGCCTGAGCATGCGACGCAAGATCCAGTCACTCATTGTGTATCGTGGCATACCTGCAATCTGGTTTACATTAAACCCCAACGATATCACGAACCCGGTGAAGCTCAGGCTGGCAGCATACCGTACCCGAGATCCTAAAGAGGCCGAAGCCTTTTTAACGAGTCTCGACGCCGCGTATAAACGTACGAGGCTGGCCATCTCGGACCCCCTGAGCTCAGCCGAATTCTTCCATCGGGAAATGACTTTATTCTTCGAACATTACGTGAAAGTGGGGGAAGAATCGGTCTTTGGCCGCATCAGCCACTATTATGGCGCTGTGGAGACCAACGAGCGGGGAGCGCTCCATGTTCATGGACTGCTCTGGCTGCATGGAAACGCCTATCAGAGCTCGATGCTTGGTGACATTCAAGGTGAGGATCAAGAGACATACCGAGAACGTATCGTCAAATACGTTGACAGTGTCTTTTCCGAGGTATGCGTGACAAAGGGTTGGGGAGGGGGCTTTGACCTACATCCTGGCCCGTCAAACCTGACAAAGCTGACGCGCAAGACAGGATCTTGATGAGGAAGGTTTCTGTGCAATTCAGGCAGAGCGGTCGATAACATCAGACATCTCCCAGCTGCTGCGAGATAATCAGCGATTTTCAGCCTCATTCGATGAGGAAGCAAATTTCTGCGCTGGGGCGACTCAGATTCACACCCATAGTCCAACCTGTGTCAAGTATCCGATGGCCAAAGGCAAGCATAACGGCAGTCTGTGTCGTTTCAAGGCGCCGTGGGGACTGGTGGACAAGACAGCCTTTACGGGAGACGGGGTGCTGCGGATTCGGAGGTCGCACAGCATGGTAAATCGGTGGAACAAGGCCATTGCCGTGGGGCTCCGTCACAACCATGACATATCCTTTATCGCCACACAGCGCAAGACCATGGCCCTCGTGTTTTACGTCACCAATTATGCGACCAAGGTAGAGGACCCTGTATGGAAGCGCGTCGCTGCGGCGCCAATCTCTTGCCTCCGCGAGCAGGCGATGGAATGGCCGACGGCGCGGAGGCCCGTGGAGACGATATGGCTGGCGACGACAACCGGCAGAATAAGACGCGGCAGTTCTTGATGAAGGTGGCCAACCGGGTATTTACGGAGAGGCCGTTATCGCAGGTCGAGGTTGTCGCGGACCTCCTGGGATACCCAACTGAGCTAACGAACAACAGTGCTTGGGCGTTCCTGAACGTATCGGTGCTCTACTGGCAGGTCTTCAGACAATGGCCACACCTACGAGCAGAAAGCGGCGCGGCTACGGCGGAAGGTTCCGTAGATGAGTCCATACTTGTCGAAGAAGCAGGCCAAAGAATCTGCCGCGTCGAAGCATATTGTCACCGGGGAGATGCTCTACGAAGGTTGTGCCTCTACGACTATGTTTCCCTGGTCATGCTGAAACGCATCGATGGGAATAAAAGGCAGGTCATCTGGGGGGAAGTACCGTTCGAGAGCGGGTGGGCTCCAGGAAGACGTTGGGTGCAGGTGCTTAGACGACCGGGCAAGCAGGCTATCGTCTGCCTTGACGGTTATTTGAGCAAGGATTTTGACGATGACGACGAAGGTTCTTGTCATCGAAGGTGCGTTTGCCGTCGACAGAGCAAGAGAGTTGCGTTGAAACGGCTAATTCCTAAGTTGAAGGGCCGCTGTGCAGCATCTTGCGTTGTTCGTGCCATGGCAGTCTTTCGTAGACGAGGAAAGCGGCGATATCAACTGCATATGGGCTCGGGCACGGGCGGCCCTGACCCCGAGAATATCATGTTTCGTTGATAACGTGCAATTATTGCGACGATCCGCCGAGGATGCAAAGCGGGATGCCAAGCAGTGGGCAGCCACATCAAGTGACGGTGACTTTACCGCAGTGCATCCCGAGGAGGATGGCGCCGAGCAGGCTGGCGAATACCATGGATCAGTATACCAGGCGGACAGAACCGGAAATACAATGCGTTTAGTCGACGTCGTCAGAAGCGCGATCGGGATGAACCAAATCACGACCGGTTCCTCGGAGATCACAGCAATGATGCAGGAACTTAGCCACTTTCAGCAATCACCGCTGTCATCGTCTTATGAACTCCAGTCCACAATAATACCCGAGCCAGGACCAAGACGGATAAACATACCGGGGCGGGCATTCTCCGGAGCCACCATACCACTGCAGACTCAAGTTCGGGCCATAAAGTCGCAGCAAATCTGTGCGTCCAGGGAAAAGGAGAAGATGATACAGGGTATACAAAGCGCGGCGGTGCAGGGCGAGCTCATGGGGATCGGGGAAGACGATATCCAAATGACGGGAACGGATTTTGAGCAAACGGCAGCGGAGGCAAGTACGGGAATGCAGATCCGATTTGGCGCCTCAACCTCCTTCCTTGAGGCGGGTAAGACCTTGGTCGCGCGGCTCACGCTGAACAAGAGGCAGGCGATCGCCCTTCTCATTATATGCCGCCAGCTGGATCTAATAAGATGCAGCGAGAAGGATAAGACAGGTCAGTTGTGCCAGTTCATCGGTGGGGAGGGCGGGACCGGCAAGTCGCGAGTTATCCAGGCGCTCGTCGAGTTGTTCAAGTCAAAGGAGCAACCAAACCGTGTATTGATAACGGCGACGTCTGGGACTGCAGCGGCACGGATCGACGGCATCACAATCCACTCCGCCTGCGGGTTCTCAAAAGACGTCGCGACAGCTGCCCACATGGCCAAGAATGTCGACGGTGTGCGATTGCCAAAACAGGCGGAGCGATTCGTCGACGGCCAGTCTCGGATGGACTGGCAAGACAAGGATGTGCTAGTCATCGACGAGGTGAGCATGCTCGGGGCGCGGACGCTGCACGCGGTGAATGAGAAGCTCTGCAAGCTGCGCGGGTCGCAGCAGGATTTCGGAGGGATCCCCATCGTACTCTTCTGCGGAGACTTTCTCCAGTTCCGGCCGGTCCAGGAGCGATCCATCCTCCTCCCAAGCACGGCCGTCTCGTGGGACGTAGACAACTCGTTCAAGGCCGAGCAACGGCACCAGCATGACAAGGCGCACGCGCTGTGGAAGAAATTCACGACCGTCATCATGCTGGACGAGCAAGTGCGCGCCGCGGGAGACCCGGAATTGCAGCGGCTGCTAAAGAGGATCCGACTCGGTGTGCAGGATCACACGGACTTGGACCTTCTTAATTCAAGGTGCTACCAGGAGGGGAGGCGGATCCCGTGGGAGACGGGCATTACCGTGGTAACGCCGCTCAACAGAAACCGTTGGAACCTCAATATGGAGGCGAGTTTGGCGTTCCGGATCCAGCAGCGGTCGACGATGCGCATTTTCATGTCCGAGCACAAGTGGAAGGGCGGACTGCCGACGGAGGAAGAGGCCACCATGATGCTGAACCAGGGTGATGACAGTGCGATACCGGTACCAGCCGTCTTCATGTTCGTGCCAGAGATGCCGGTGGTTGTGAATTGCAATACACTGCAAGGACTAAAGCTGGTGAACGGGGCCAGTTACACGGCGGTGGAGGTGATCCTGGACAAGTCATATCCAGGGCACCGGATCTCGGCCGGCCTGACGATCCACTTCGGGCCGCCGGCGGGGATGTTCCGGGCCAGTCACGAATA